AGAAGAAGAAGAAGAAGAAGAAGAAGAAGAAGAAGAAGAAGAAGAAGTTTTCGTCGTCGCGATCTACATAACCTGTACGTACAAGCGATACAAGTGTGAAATATGAGCTGGAGCGAGCAGCCTCGACGTAAGGGACGTCCAACCGGGCTAACTACATTTGACCTACATGCATGAACCACCTTAATACGTCGAATATTTCTCGAAAAGTAATAAAGGAAAATACCTATACTTTATTATAGTGTTTTTGAAAGCTCTCAATGTGAGTTAAATGCTTCTGCAATTTATTTGGGCTGTTTTTTATAACCAATTTTCTTGATATGCCAATGTGTTCAGAATGTTCTAAAACGCTGAGATTCGATTCCAAAATTCTAATTTTTTGAGGATGACGATGGGTTTAATTTTTTTTAAGTTTAGCTTTGTTTTTTGAAAAAATTTTAGTACTGGTTTCATTAAAATTGGTTTATAACAAAAAAACTACTCATTTATTTTATTAACCGATTTTCTGAAGTATATATTAAAATTTCAATGAATCGGAGACCTCATTTAGGTATCTTTTCTTTTTTTTCTAAAGTCTCCAAAGTCTTCAAAAAAGGTTACCGATTTCTATCGAAATCTCCGTAATTGCTCTAATTTCCGTAAATTTTGTGATTGTTAAGTATATTATGCGGTTGAATGCCTCAGGCATACTCGCGGCGCAATCCGTCCCTGTTGCCTTGTCGAAGCTATGCGATCACGTGATGGGGCCCGAGCTCCCCTCCCCGAATCCGCTCAGAAGCTCGCTACGAGTCAAGCAAGCAGCACGTGAAGCGCGGCCAGCACAGGCCTAACGACTTTTCCGTTATTGTTAGTAGTGTTGTCGAAGAGCAATAAAGTATAATTAAACTAAAAGACTCATTGTCTTGACCACGCCGTTCCCGAGAAGAACACCGGAGAGCAACGCGTGGAAGGAGCTCAAGCCAACCATTCTCTTTCAACAAAAATTAGAAAGAGAGGGAAAGAGTTCTCTAACAGTGATATTAAGCTGAAATTTGTTTTTATGGATAGAGTGTCATTAAAGGAAGGTTGGTATTGAATTTGGCGTCAATCGCTGAAGGGGTTACCGATTCATGTTAAAAAAAATGTAAAGTTATACATGTAATCTTATATAGAATATCATTAAAAAAAGGTTGGCATTTACTTTGGCGAGAATCGGGGAAAGGATTACCGATTTCTGCAAGAAATTTATACTTAACACTGGAAGGATCTCGTATTGACATGAATTTGTCGTCGATCCGGGGATACCGATTTATAAATAGAGTATAAGTTATACATGTATTGAGAATTTTTTCTTACGAGAAGGATTCCCATTTGGTGCATGTTGCCGCGTAGCGGCAGTGCGCGTTACTAGCGTTCAAACAAATTACAAATTTTTACGAAAATTTACAACTATCTGCTAACGTTTGATTTGGGAGTGAAAATTTGACTTTGAGACAAAATGAGAATAAATATAGCTCAGACTTTCAAGTTCTTTCAAGTTCAGACAAGTTGTAGAATGTTGTTTTTACTCGTAACAAGTTGTAGCTCTACTTGGTTCTATTTTCAGTTTGTCTGCAAGAATTGTCAAAGCAAGTAGGTTTTGTAGAAAGTTGTACTTTCTACAATAAATTTCAATAATTTGCGACGGGAGCTAGGCAAGAAATTCGTGATTTCTTGTAGAATCATTTAGTATCTATAAAAAATTATGAGAAACTACGCTCTAATTAGTTTTGACTTTTCTTTCAAGTTCAACGAAGTTGTAGATTATTGTTGTAATTCGTAGAAAGTTGCAGTTTTAACAAAAGATTACAAGAAAGTATGCCTATAGAGTATTTTCCACAATTGGTTTGAACCGATAGAAAGTACGACTTTAAAAAAAAAACTATTACTTTTGACAATTCTTACGGACTCGAGTCCGTAAGAGTTGTCAAAAGTAATAATATTTCTTAAAAAGTCGTACTTTCTATGCTAAATTACAACTGTGAATGCCCTCAGGTAGTGAATTTTTGGTGGAGATTAGTAACTGTAAAAATTCATAATTTGTGGTACAATCTTGTAGTATTTATGAAAAGTTACGAGAAACTACGCTCTAATTAGTTTACTTTTCTTTCAAGTTCAACAGAATTGTAGATTATTGTTGTAATTCGTAGAAAGCTACAGTTTTAAACTTTACACTAAAGATTACAAAAAAGTCTGTCGAGTATTTTTCACAATCAGTCCAAGTCCGTAAGAGCTGTCAAAAGTAATAGTTTTCCTTAGAAATTTATATTTTCTATGCTAAATTACAACTGTGAA